CTAACAGGGATTGGTTGTAGAATATATACAATTAATTTTTTTCCTGAAAAAGAAAAAAAATAAAGTTTACCAGTGGAACATTTTTACATTATTTGTTGAGAGTCACTTCAGGAGCTAGAAGACGTTTGCAGCGCAGATACATTGTAGAAAACGATTATATGTTTAGCAAACATTCCAGACCTTATCCACCATGCAAATAAATGCCATTTTGCCAAAACACAGACTACGGGAATAAATTCTTACTCCAATATGTGGCCATTGCTCAACACAACTTTTGGCCTCTCTCCTGGATTTGAAATCATTTTCAGGCCCGGTTTACAGGCAACATAAGAAAACTACCTTTATTGTTTTATGGTCACACCTGGTAAATGGAATTCTTATTACATTTCCTGAGTTAAAGCTAGGATTTCCAAAATGCATTTGGAAACGGCCCAATTTTGACACAGTGCGACACACGCTGCCGTTTTACAATTTCCTTAGTGACTGTTTCGCGAAGAACATCATCTTGGAACAAAATTGGCTTTGTGATCCGTCCTATGAACTGTACGCACTGACTGGAAATCGGACAGCTCAGAACAATAAAACTGCACGTTTGTAAGTGGAAAAAGAACTAATTCTGAAGTGAGTAAAATATGGCTGTACGATAAATTTGAAACTGATGCTGTCTGCTGTTAAAAAACATTAGCATGTATCCTCCATTTTCTTAGCACTGACTTTGTCCATCTCTGGAATAGCACACACTTCTTTTTCCTTCGAATTTTTATATTACTCTTTTAATTATGTCATACAAGATACATTACAGGAATATTACAGATATCTAAATTATGAAATAGGAAGATTAAAACACAAAGGCTTGTGTTCCCAAGGTGGCAGATGCTCTTAGCCAAGGTGACAATGTCTCTGAACTGAGTGACATTTCCTAACACAAAGCTGATCTCTTCTTAAGGGGAAAATCCTTATCGTGTATTTTAGGTTGTCAGTGCTTGAAACACCTTTTGAGTACCTACCCTAGAAAATGCCTGCACAAAGCTCCGTGTTTTTCACGGCTGTATTCTGAATCGCAGGCTAAAGAACCCTTCCTCCCAGCAAGAACTGCCTGTTCTAACCCCCAAACAGACCAAAAATCCACCTTTCTCCATCCACGGCCCCCAACTGGCCTGGGTAGTCAGCACCTTCCACCGGACGATGGGAGTCTCCGGCGCGTGTC